CAAGAAAAAGATAAAAAAAAACAAAATTTACTGTACTAATTATTTACTTAAAAAAAAGAAAAAAAAAAAACATAAGAAATAAAAAAATGTTCCAATTTTTTTTTTTTCAAATACCATAGAAGACATGCAGGCAAGGGTGATGAACTAATATTTTTTTTTATTGGGCCTAATACCAATGCTAAATGTTACAATATTTCGTAAGAGCACGTAGTCCAACCGAATACGAATCATACCGTATTGGATACTTATAATTATAATATGAAATTGGTTCCCCCTTGTTTAAAAAGTCTGGATCCGCCACTGATTAAAAAGTAGGAAGTGGATATATTTAAGTATTTATATTAATGCATACGCAGCCATAATTTGATAAACTTGCATTATCAGTCACATAAATTTATCGATTCTGTTTAAATGTATGTGTGAGTTCAGTTAAACTTTCAGCACTCAAAATTTATGTCGGCCCAAGCTGCGGTGAACATTCTCACCACGGCACTGACTTGCCTAGGCCCTTTTGTTTATAGTCATGTTGAATTACATTAACTTGACCAAACAAAGTTTTGTATTCAACAACACACAATTGAATTGACAGCAAATACTCCCCAAATTGGTTGAATAAATTTCTGTAAACAGTTTATGGCAGGGAGGGTTGACGTTTGTAAATAGGTATTTAATTATAATTTTACCATTATTAAACGTCATTAAATTTGCTACAGTAGTATGTATTTCAATCATTAAATAGATTATGATTGTGATAATGAGCTAGAAATAAGCCTCCCCTAGTAACTCACATCATGACCAACGTCTGAGCGAGGTATGGTATTTCTTTCACATTAACTGCCAATGTTGTTGTTGCTTGGGCCGACGTTTTTGAGTGCTAAGTTGAATATATATTCTTTGGTTGAACTCATATTAACGTACATTTACCCAGAATCAATAAATATACGTGATCAAGTTTATTAAAGTATGACTGCGCATGTGTTATTTATTTCACATAAATATATTGCTTACCGATTTGTTTTACGGTCACGTAAATATATCCACTTCCTAAAAAGTAATATCTGTCAGCATTATGCCCCTGTAGCTATCCCCTTTTGTCCCATCGTGCACCCCCTCATTAAGCCCCATCTTCCACAAGCCAGTACTCTTAGGCATGTCATGTTAACTGATAACACTAAATGTGATCTCCAATAAAGGAATAAATGAATGAAGTTATAATAATAGAATATAAAAATAACCCAATATGCTGTTCTAGCAATTAAGAAGGTGTAGTGCATCCCACAACAAAAGGAAGCGGTTGCGAAATGAATATCTTTACTTGAACTATTAAGCAATTCGGTCTGCAATGAATTCAGATATCTATTTGTGTACATATTAGAAAAATGAGATTATAATTTAGTAGCAAAGAAGGACTTTCTTTGCTAAAAGCAATGATTTAGAAATCTCTTTTGAACTTTATTATTTAGTAACATCAAATTGAATTTGAATGTTGTTGATTTATAGGTGTAAACTGATCCCAGTAGGTCTACTGATATAGAACTTTAAAAAAAAGGTATATGTTGTTTAGTTGACAAAGAAATTTTGTTTGTTCTAATATTCAAATGCAATTAAAATGTTGACAAACCTAAAAAGTATTTTTTTAGATTTAAAGCAGACAGTTTAATTCCACCAGAATTCTGTCTACATAATATTTTATTTGTACAAAATAAACATAAATTTGTCACCAATTAGTTGCGTTTTAACTGATGGTAACAAATTGCTCCAATGAGAGTCCTCAAAACACTGTGCCATACCAATTCACACATTGATTTAAAACAAACAGATAGTATGCTGATGCATATTAATTATATTAACAACACCTGCTCTAACGTATTAGACAAAGGAAAAAAGCCTATGGACAGTTTTTATAAATTTCAATAAAGATTCGAAAGGCGTAGTTACCTTTCCCAAGGAGGTTATGTATTTAGTGCTGTCTGTCTGTCAGGCTATCTGTTACAGTAGCAAGGTTATGCAAAATTTATGAATGGATCATCATAAAATTTAGTGGAATGGTACAGAATAATAAAAGAATTACACCTTTCAATTTTCAGAAGAAAAAGTCGAAGGACAGGGTCAGTGTCACGGAAATTTGATTTCCTACCTCGAGCGTAAATGAAAAAATTAAAATCGTCCCTCGTGTTTAGGATGAACTCAAAAACAATATGCTTGAATACAGCTTGCGATTTCATTATTTTCTTGAGGGTAGGCTGCAGCACACCAACATTTTTTGAAGAATAAAATGGCCAGCAGGCCCCTCAATAATATTAGTCTTTAGAGGAGTTATTATTGATTACTGTGTTGATTTCAAACCAGTGATGTATTCGAGGTTGTCCCAGTCAGCCTGCTGTCTCTTACCACAAATTTTTATTTTAAATTATAAAAAAAATTGAAAAAAGGAATTAGGTTAAAATTTAAGTATGAGAGTGCCATTTCCGGCCATCTAGAGGTGCTATAATTTTCTTACCTCAGCCCCAACCATGGTGGGTCTGAGGTGGTCTTCACCCTCCCTGGCTTCTCTATTTCGAATTCCCTGACTCGCCACTACAATTGTTAAATTTTATGTGCCAACAATTTTCTTGATTAGTTTAGAACAGCTGATGAGACCGTATATGCTCCTCTTAAAATAGTATGAATCCAATTATCATTAGTATTTTTTACTAGCCTAGGCCTTTATGAGTAGGGGGTGAAAAAAAACATGTTATGATGAATTTTCTGAGAACTTTAGGGAATTCCCCTATAACATCAAAGGGCCCGGCAATTAATCTTGCACTGGGGCCCTTTTGCACCTACTGTAGATGCTGCTGGTTATGCTGCAGTTTGTGACTACTCTAGAATTTATTAAATGTTTTACTTGAATTTTGTTTGTTGCAGTTTGTATTAATCCATTTATCAGAAACATTTTATGTATTTTTTTATTCCATGTCTTGTCTAGCCAATTTGGTGAAGAAAACAAAATCATTCTATTGTGTTGAAAGCTTAATTAATAACCAGTAGGTTCTAAGATAAGTTTTAGATAACTTAGTATAAAACATACTCCAAATGAAGTGAGACTCATCATTGTGATAACATTTGGATAAAATAAAAATGATTCACATTTCTATTTTTATTTTTGAATGGGTATAGTATTAATTCCTGTTATGGTTGATACCATCAGACTAGGCACATCTATCAGGTTCAGCTTACCATGAAAAGCTCCAAGGTCTAGTGATTGTGAACTACCAATACTCTTGTATGTAATTCTCTTAAAAACGGAATCGTTTATACCTTGTGTGATCCTATTGTTTCCTGTACTAGATCTGTCTCTTATACACATCTAGATGTGTATAAGAGACAGGTTTAAAGCAGACAGTTTAATGCCATCAGAATTCTGTCTACATAATATTTTATTTGTACAAAATAAACATAAATTTGTCACCAATTAGGTTTAGGAATATATAATTTAATAATAGGAAATTTGCAATGTTCTAGTATAAAAAACCGATATGTTTCCTGTTCACGCTTCTTTTGATCAGAAATGGATAGTTAACCAGTTCTACCTTATGTTGGTCATGCAAAGTATGTAATCCCATGGCATTTGTTTCACATTATCGCTGTTGATTTGATAAAATACATGCAGTGTGTACACATGCTCAGTGTCATACCATTAGTGTCTGCAGATTGGAAAGCTGTGTATGTTTTGAGATGGACTTCTTCAGGTACCCACTTCCAAGGTGGAGTGAGACAACATGAATAAGTACCTTGCCTAAGGCCTGAATAATTACTGCTACATTATTCAACAACATAGCATGTTATTATATTCAAGTTCATTATAATTAATAAGCCCCATCCACTCATGCCAGTACAGTAGAACCTCATTTTTACGTATCCCAGTTATACGAACCCTCAGTTTTACGTACACCTCGTATCGACACTGATGTCATCCAAAAGCCCAAAAATATTCAAAAAAATTACGGCCCTTTTCAGTGCAACCATAAGTAAAAAGACTATAACAATAAACAAACCATAATGCAACGTATTTTCATTAAACAGCAATGTTGATTGAGTATAATACTGGGTTGTTATAATCTAAAACCACATGAACTGAGTGAGATGACCAACTACCGATGGTGCTCAAAATAATTGCTTTCATCCTTAACTTCGTGTGGAAAACTTGGAAAATTTTCTACAGGAAGCTGAGTAGGCAAAGTTTCATACATGAACGCTAATAGGTTGGCTCGACCAGCGCAGTGCATGTGGTTGCTGTTTCACGTACACGAACGTTAATTGGTTGGCTTGCCCAGTGCAGCGCACATGGTTTTAGTTTGTCTCAGCAGGCCCAGACAACACCACAGCTCTGTTGTTTAGAATAGCCATGAAGGGGAATTCCCAAGTTATACCTTTGTCGTTTTGGTAATCCTACAATATTTTCATATTTAGTTAAATAAAAGATATAAAGTGATGAATTAATACTGTACATAAGACACATGGTTTTATTTGAACACTTTATTATGACATCGTAAAGTGATGATTAAAAACACTAAACACATGGTTTTATTCGTAGGCATATTGGCTAGGTTAAGCCTAGGTAACATCGTTCGTTCATAACATACGTTTATTGAGCGTTACGTACGTATTAGGTCAAAGGTTACCCTTTAACCCAACCTCAATTTTACGAATTCCCCGATTTATGTACGCCCTCCGGTCCCGTACCCTATGTAAAATCAAGGTTTTACTGTACTCATATGTCGCTGGTGTAATAACTGTTAACACTGAATGTGATCTCCAATAAAGGAATATATTAACGAAGTTATAATTAAAGAATGAAATAACGAATATGCTATTCTAGCAATTGATGCAGTGCATTCCACAACAAAAGGAAGCGGTTGCAAAATTAATATCTTTACTTTTACAAGTAAGGCAAATTCCATGCTTCTTTAATATTAAGCATCAATTTTTTCTATTTTGTACATTAGGCCTACTTATTACATACAGGTACATTTCTATGTTTTTTTTGGTTTATTTTTTCAAGTTTATGATTGCTTTTTTACCCAGCATATCTGAGTGTCTTCTGTCCTCTTATTCAATGTGCTTCATATTAATTATATTTAAGTTTATTATAAGGAATTTTAATATTTATATCAAAACATGAATGAAAATGATTATTTGACTAGTTATTTATTTATCAAGAAACACTTCTCATTAAACTCCATTTCCTACTCCAATAAAACTCCAATACCATCAATGCTCCGGGATTCAAAGGATTCTTTGAAGCGTACAAAACCGGTATCACCACTCAATTTCCCTCTATTCTTTAACATGTTTGTTATTATTAGCCAGCGATTCTCATTTTCATGTAGTCAGTATAAAACCTGTTACGGATATTGCATATAGTTGTGAAGCATTGTTCCTAAAGTAGTTAGTGTAATTTTACCAGTTTTTCTTTTCATGTTTAAAGAACCAACCCATATACTGTATGACCCTTACGTAATGCTCATGAACCGGAAAGGTTCGCTGATGCGTTGGATTCTATAGTGCATTAGTCTTGTGGTTATATGGATTGGTATTCGCACCTTTATGCTACTGATCTTCTGTTTACTAATTGGAGGTAAAGCCGAGATCTCAAGCTTTATGACATGTTTGTAGACTTAAAGTGGTTTGCCTAGGCTATAAATAATTGAATTTTGTTTAGCATCTTTGTCAATCAGTGCTAATAGTTATAGCCATGTTGATAGAGCTTCTGAGAGGAAGCAAGAATGAATGGAGGAATTGAAAATGCATACAAGAATGATTTATTGTCATTATACACAACTCGTTTCTCATAAAAATTTAAGTTCCAATGCTTTTAATATACAATATATGCAACTATTACTTTCATTTTACTTTACATACTGTAAAACCAACATATGGTATATGGTTATGTAAATTATAACAGAAAGTAAAATTATTAGATCACTTAAATGTGCCAACTGTACCATTCTGCAAATATTAGTTTAAACTTTCTCCTACACTATAGCAAATTAATTCTGAATCAGATTTATGAATTATCAAATTTTAAATATGCATATTTGTGTAAGGAGTTGGTCAAACATAACTTCCTCCAGATCTTACCCCTTGATATATTAAGCATAAATTTGCTTAAATCTACAATTTGTAGTAGTTGCTATTTCATGGTTAGGTTAATAATTATAATATTGCTTTTGATTCTATTTTCATAAGTCAGCAGACAAGAGTATGTAGGTGGATGTATTTATCATAATCACTGGGGCCTGTAAAATATTTACTTATTCACAATGTGTCTTATCACCAGTGTTGCACAGTCTCTAGTCAGTTGTGTACTCTGTATACATAGGCGGCCGGTTCCTACGTGTTTTGCGGTCTGAAGGTGAACTTTATGGTTTATGGGCGTGTAGTCTGGTATGTATAGTACTCTGTGTAAATAGGTACGTTTTGCAGTCTGAAGGTGAGGTTTATGGGCGTATCATTTGAAGAATGTGTGCTGTAGATTTCGTTTTCATAATGCATGTTGAAATCATCGTTCATTTGTGAAGTTCAAAATTATATTGAAAGGTCCCCCTGCAGCCAGATGATATTCAAATCTTCCAAGTCAATGAAATACTTGGTTTAAAACATTTATTAAATACTGCACATAATGTGCAGACTAGTTTAATCTACCGATAATATAGACAAAATAACATTTAAACTAAACATTTTTAATGGATTATAATGCTAAGTGTGGGTAATCCTACAATAATGTGCAAGTAAATACAAGGTAAAATAATTTTAGGTGAAGTAATTTAAAAAATGCAACTAATTATAAATTTATTATCTGACATTTTAGTGCGAATATCAAATTACAGTTGATGGCTGAAATAACCGAGTGTTGAATGAGCAAGCCTTGGGTTGACATCTGTAGACAAAAGGAGTGATTGATTTTTTCATTCATATTGGGGTTAACCTTGTGTTACCTGTCGTTAGTGCTTTCTGTTTTCATCTGGTTTATGAAAAGTAATAAACCTGTAGAATATTCATAAATCTAATTTTAGACTGTATGATGAAGTAATCTATGGTAATTAAACCATAATTGACGCAAAAGATATTTTCGATAAACAATATTATAAATTACCCATTACTCACTATTCTGTAAGTCTCAGAAAACTTGGATCCTTCTGATAAAGTGTGATTATATCTATTTTGATTTAGCAACTATTTTGTTTTGTTTTTCATGACCATGATCATGAACCTCGTAAAGCAAGGGGGTATCTGGGAAAGATTTAGGTTGTATGAATGATGTTTCATTATGGGCGTACATAGGAGATGGGAGAGTTATTTTCACAGAGTGCCTAGCATCTAGGAGCATTTTGAGGAATTTACATATTCCTGAGATTCACGTATTGAAATTTAAAGTGAGTAATTATCCAAAACACAGCTACTTAAAAAACATGAATAGCATTCCATTCAACATCCATGTAGTAGTAATAATGAACAATAAAGAACTTCCAGTGCGGGGACAGAATTGGGGATAACATTAACCTTCATACAAACAATAGTACCTGTCTTCTATAGTAGGTCTACTATTACTATTAGTGTTGCAGTACAAAGTACAAAGTTAAAATCAGCCGATATTATGTGAAGACACAAGCTATTTGATTAGGTCTGGTTTAAACTGTGAAATGGTTTATGAATTTTGTTGGATGTAAGGGCGTCAGTTGTTCCAAAGAGACAAATTCAGAGCTAGAAAAGCCTTTACTGCATCTGTGAATTTTAAAAGTAAACAACATGTAATTTATGGAACTGCTTTTGACTTATAAATAAGTATTTATTTGATTTCGAAGATTTGTATATGGTGCCATAAACACATCCGATATTTGTTTAATGTAATTGTTTTAAAAATGAAAATGATAGCAGGTTTGTAAAATGTGGTTAATATATTTGTTAACAAATATAGTAAACTTAAGCAGATTTCCATGATTTTTTATTTAAATAAAAAATTGAATTGCTAATTAGATTGTTCAAATCCAATATTGTAATTGCAAACTAAACATACAGTAACTATTAAGTGTAATAGCCTAGGAGTCAATATCACCAAAAGCCATAGTGAAATAAAGACATTCATCTGGGTTCCTGATCAATACTGAGTATTTAAAATGCATCAGTACTTCAAATAATGTATTCACGCCCATGTTGCAACTTCAAAGACGTGCGTACAAACAAGATGACTACAGTTGGTTCTGCAATCTGGCAATGAGGTTGGTCGAAGCCTGTTCAATTAGCTTTCTTGACCTTTTTTGCACAGCAAGTCTGAATAAGGTTACAGTCAGCCTAGATGGTTTCATAGTAGCGGCCAGTGCGTGCTTTGGGATCTTGATAACTGATATAGCTGAGGCATTCCATTGAATTCTTTACTGCCAATCAAAGTTCTTATCGCAGGCCTTGCATCAGTTGTTGGAAAAATGATTAGTTATTGATTCATAAATTTATGTTTTTTGTACAGTGTTCATTAAGTGCCCCATATGGTATTACTAATTAATTTTCATAATAAGTAGGTATATTTTATGTATAAAATACTTTTAAAAAATATTATTTTTAAAACAATGAAATTATGAAGAATTGAGAGTGAAATATACTTATAGCTAAGTAGCATAATACAGTAATTTAATCAAAATACAAATAAAATTTAAAAAAATGTATAAAACTTAAAAATAATATTTCATAAAATTAGTTTTTAATTTAATTAAATTTGGACCATTAAAATATAGTTGAAAAAACATTGAAAAATATTTTAAAAAATAACAATAAATAATAGTTATTTATGAGATATTTCTGTAATACTATATTACTCTACAAACTGAAAATTTGTATATTTTTTCTTTTGGTCTAAAATACAAACATTCCAAACTAAATGAAGGCGGCTGGGATCAATGACGCTGCAAATGAGCTTGCATAATGTTCCAGTAAGTTGTACCACTACGTTAATAATGAAAAAAAACTCATTGAGCATGTTTAAGAACCAGTTAATGTAAAAGATAAGGCTGGAGGTGTTCTGGAATCAAAACATCCACCTCCGCCTGTCCAAAGGCCGAAACTGATTTTACTGAGAGAACAAACAGAATATAGTTATTAGTATCAATCACTTGGGTAACAGAAGTGAGGCTGAATAATTCACAAAATCAATAATTTTAAATATGTTTCACTACAGTATATATTTATATTTCATTTTTGAAATACCCATACAATTATGAATGATGAGTCACACCCACTGAAGTGTAAATTTAGACAATCGTTATGGTAACCAAAAATATGTCCCACTCACTTCATAATGTTGTTTCTAGGTCATTTTTTTCCTAATGCTGTTCATAAATAAACTTATGTAGATACCTTGCTACCTTGCTCATTGATCATTTGATGTTTACTTTAAGTCAATTTTTGTTTCTAGTAGAAACAGAATTTTGATGTATGTTAGATGGTTGATAACAATGTTTGTTATTTTATGTTATTAAAAATGATCTTAAGCCCTACCAGAAGTTGTAAAATTTATTTCAGTTATTCAGTTGACTATAGTAAAATATACAAAAACATTAAACTTAAGAAATACATATTGAATGAATAATTAATGCCTCATGACTAATGTATTGTCACATTGATTAATATGGTTATCAAGCATCATGATGTTGTTCAGTTGGCCCCTACTCTTGCAGGCGAACATCCATGAGTATTTGGCTAGCAGTGGGATAGAGCTTTCAGTTTTAATAAAGTGAAAATTGTTATTGTAATTGTTAAGTATCCATAATGGTGATGCAAAGATGAGTGCTAAGTGAAAGCCGTAGGGGCTAATAATCTTTTACCTAATTGGTGAAGCATCGTATTCGATGAAAACAAATTACCTGATTTCATCCAAAATAAATCGCTTGTCAAGCTAATAATCACATTGGACGGGATCTTATTGTCTACATCAATTCAACATTGCAATTACCAGAATGCTTTTGTTTTGCTTGGAATTCATTCTTAGAAACTATATTTCCTTATTACACTTTTATATTTGTTTTGTTTCTGTGTTTTCAATGGCTCTACTGTATGTTATTAGTTTTGAGTCCACATTCTTTATGCCTGTTGAAAATGTGTATATTCTAGATGTAAATTCTTGTTTGATGATGTAACTGTAGCAAATAGTAAAAGTATTTTTTATTTCCAGAATTTATGACACATGTATAATTTAAGATTGAATATATAAATAATTGATATTCATTTGAGTAAAAGTATTAAGTAAGTCCATTACTATTATCATCTTTTTGTTTCTATGAAAAAAAAAAGATTTGTAGCCAGGCCTAGTTCTAATCCAGCAAAAATTATCCCTTCAACCCCTGATGCTCAGGAAGGGGAAGTGACTTGTACATGTACCATAGGCAAGCAATTCACTAAGCCACTGTTACTGTAAGTGTTCCCAGAGGGTGCGAGTAGTTTTATCCACAAACACAGCAAGTATAGTAGGGAGTGTGTTTTTGTTATTGACTGAGATGTTAATGACTTGGCTAGCTATCAATGACTGGTACTAGGTTAATATTTCAAGTTCTTCCTTCATATCCTCATTCAGCTCGGGGTAATTTGTATTGGAGTCAGCAAGCACTGCTGACGAAGCAGCTGTGTCGAGAGCCAAGGATCTGTTTGTTGAGACTGAAAATTAATGCATTGTAATGCGATATGCAGAGCAATCCGTGACTTTAAATGAGATATGCCACCATGGAAGTGTGTAACATGGTACCATATTCATGTGGAAAAATGAATGATTTTAATATTTAGTTATTTAATCACATTAATTTCATTAATGTGATTACATAACAACTGAATATTAAAAACCATGATTTCCACGTGGAGATCATCATAAAATTGTTAGGCCTAGGATTTGAACCTACCTTATGAACTTTTCATGGGAAGCATGGTACCATATTACTTATCACAGCTTTACTGTGATTAGTCATAAGATCATCCCTCGAAAACAAATAGAACAGTTGACTCCTGGCACCAAGCTCAAGCGGACCCCACCACCATGCAACTCCCTCATTCTTTTTCTAGTCACGAAAGTGAACACCTCGGATTTTTGATTGTGGATCTTTTTTGCATTGATATTACTTGATTTATTAAGATCTTCTTTGGATTTTACTGCATCCTGCTTACTGTTTTACGGGTTTGCTGTGTAGTCACCATGACCGGCAAATCAGAATATCTGATCTGTCGGGGCCCTAGACCAAGTCCCAAAGTGGACAATCATAAAGCTTGTCCAGCTTGTAGGGAGTGCAATGCTGAATCTCCTTGCGAGATTTGCGTGAGGTGGGTGCCATCTCAATTCGTGGTCATCTAGGCCTGGCTGGCCGACCGTTTGTAGGGGGCCTCCGGCTCCTGCAGATGCGGAAGCGTCAATGTGTGCAATCA